AATTCTGATCTTTGTGTGCACCTGTATGCACCTTACTTTGGATAAATTCTGAGTTTTGCCTGAGAAAGTTGGCATCTTATCTGAGACCGTGAATGCTTTCCTAAGAGCTACTAATGTCTTCCTCTGTTTTTCAGAGTTGACACAGAATTTAACAGTGTAGGCACTTCTGCCAAGACTTTTATTAATTGTTTTCCACTTCAAGTCGATGAAGCATGGCAGGGTTATTGTTTTCATTTTTCAGTTGACAAAATAGGGACCAAGGGTTAAGCAAGTCACCTAAGACCACATGTCAAAGCAGGGACAGAGTTGGCATTGGAAGTCACTTTCTGGGAATCTTGGCTCCGTGCTTTCTCTAAAAAAAAAATTATGAAAGTTTCACACAAAGAAAAAAAGAACAGATCGTAAGATCATACACACTAGGGAACCCATCACTTGGCCTCAGAAATTTTGTAAGAAAAAATGCAGATAGAAGGAAAGCCCCCTTTGCACCCCTTCCAGTTCCAGTCCCTCACTTTCCCTTCTCTGAGAAAATCAATATCCTGAATTTGGTGTTTTACATTATCATACATATTTTTACCCCACATGTATTATCCATAAAAAATATGGTAGTTTTGCATATTTAACTTTATATTATTACTGTTATTTTGCATGAGTCCTGTAATTTTTACTGTTTTGCTCAACATTCTCTATATTCATGCCAATATATGCATATATAATGTAGCAAGCTTATTGATTCTCTCCATGATATAATATTATATTTCATGATTATATAACAGTTTATCCATTCTCTTTATGAACACTTAGATGGGTTTTTTGCTGTTGTTTAATATTATAAACAATAAATGCAATGAACATTCTTGTACCTTTCACCTGATTACTTTCTTGAACCCCATTTGAAAAAAAGAATACTCTTATTGAGATAGGTATGGAGATTCAGTTACCCTGTCTAAATTCTGTGCTAGAGTAATGCAGGAATGAGTAGACAAAGCAAGACTTATTGGCTATATTTACATTTGAAGGGATTCATTCTAAGTTTAAAAACCAATCCATATTCCCTGTTTACCAGGATTTTCAGTTGATTTATCAGGAGCTGTCATTAAATCTTGAAATCTCACTTAATAATCCACAAATCAGTCATTACTAATGATACTTCCTGCCAGAACCAGACCTGAATTTCTGTAACCTCTAGGATTTTTGTCAGATTGAAAAAAAAAAAAACTGGCGGCAACCAAAGTATTGAATTGGTAGAGATGTGCTGTGAATAAAGCAAGTTTTATCATTACAGAAATAGAAATAGTGGCCTGAAAATTTTAAGAACATCAAAATAACTTCCTTCTATAAAGCATGCCCTGGGAAGAAGGGGTGAAATTTCTATGGGACATCATGCCTGTCTATCCTAAAGTGCTATCTTTATGGGGTAGAAATAGGCAAAGGATGACCATTTATTTTCAGATCCTTATAGTCTGTTTTAAATGACTGATTAAAAAACTTTCATGTCAATAATGAAACTAAATTATTTTGAAAAATCATTGTACTTTATTCTGGATTTCAGAATTCTGAAGAAGCCGGTTCATTGTGTTAATACTGGAACTGCCTTTTAGTACCACCAGCTAACACAGATTTGGGGGAAATTGCTGGTATAGGAATTTGGAGACTGGATTTTTTTTTTTAATTTCCTCTGACTATGAACCTTGGGAAAGTCACCGAAGCATCTTAGACATGGGGTTGCCCTAAGTCAGTAATTTGCAAATTTTTTTATGCTGACTCCAGGTTGTTAGATCAATTTTGAGGGTTAGGACAATAATAATAAAAATCATCATCATCATCATCACATGGAATAGAACGGAATATATTCAGGGAACAGTGTATGTGATTAGGGTATTATTTCATAAAATTCTTATTACAGAACTGTGTGTGTTTTTGTGTGTGTGCATAATGCTGCAGGTAAAATTCGTATTCTGTATTCCTTTCAAAAACATTCGAAAGCCATTTATACCAGGTGACTTCAGAAAGGACCTCAGGGGGGCACCTGGGTGGCTCCGTCAGTTAAGCGTCTGCCTTTGATCAGGTCATGATCTCGGGGTCCTGGGGTTGAGCCCCACATCAGGCTCCCTGCTCAGTGGGAAGCCTGCTTCTCCCTCTCCCACTCCCCCTGCTTGTGTTCCCTCTCTCGCTGTGTCTCTCTC